ACCAGCCTGAGCAAGAGCGAGACTCCGTCTCTACTAAAAATAGAAAGAAATTAATCGGACAACTAAAAATATATAGAAAACATTAGCCGGGCATGGTGGCGCATGCCTGTAGTCCCAGATACTTGGTAGGCTGAGGCAGAAGGATTGCTTGAGCACAGGAGTTTGAGGTTGTTGTGAGTTAGGCTGACGCCACGGCACTCACTCTAGCCCGGGCAACACAGTGAGACTCTGTCTCAAAAAAAAAAAAAAAAAGAAAAGAAAATGGATGGTTGCATCTACTAAATAGGAACAATATAGTATAATCATGTCTATGTGGCATTTACATTGTATTAGGTATCACAAGTAATCTAGAGACGGTTTAAAGCATATAGAAGGATGTGCATAGGTTATATGCAAATACTACATCATTCTATATAGGAGATTTGAGCATCCATGGATTTTGTATGTGAGAGGGCTTCTGGAAGCAATCTCTCATGCCTGAGGGACAGCTGTATACAAAGTTATCAGCAGATTCACAACTGATGGATGTATTACAACCTTAAAAGGACAAACTTATGCTTTCATCTTCAAATTAGACCACAAGTACTTCTGTAGTTTAACCAAGAGCCAAACTACCTTAGCATATATCTGCTTAGGCATGCCTGGAAATAGTTTAGAGAAAGGAGGCTCAGAATCTGGATTATCAAAGAGTCATTCAAAATGTAAAGCCTGACTTAAGACGATAAGATTTGTAAACACTGAGATTTAGAAAACAGATAAAATAGGAAGTAGCTATTCAAATTACAAAAAAATTCTCTACATCACAAGGTTTCCTTAAAATTTGATAGCCCCTGCCAAAAGAGAGATAAAAATTCAATGAAATTAGTCAGAAATGCAGCTATTATGAGTTGTTTTCCTTCCAGACATAGTCAGTACAGGCAGCTTTACAAGCAGATTGAAGTCTACTTTCTTACAGACTTCCAGTCCAAAGGCAGCGAGCCAGCTGATAGATTTGGTTGAACACTTTGGGTGCGAAAGAAAACAAGGTGTTCTGTTATCTGTCCATAGCCTTCCACAGAGGCAGAGTAGGAGGCTGCCTCTACATCCCTCTTCCCTCAGCCATTCCCACAAAACTTGTTCCATACGGCCAGCTGAGGCCTGAAAGTTCTTTAAGCAGATAAAGATTTTTAGTAATTAGAGATAAGGCTTAGAAAGCAAACTTCCTTGGAAAATTTAACACTTTGCCATGAATTCACAAGAGGCTATAAATAACTGCTATCAGGAGCCTTTAGGGAGAACAGATTTTCTTAGAGGGATAGGTAAGGCCTGAAAAGAGGGTGGCTGGCTGTGTGTCTGGCATGAGGGAGGAGAAGCAGAGGTACTAGGCTGAAACTAAAAGTTAGAAGTTCACTTTTCTGAATCATGGGACTTTCAGCAACTTTAAAATGAGCTCACTACTTTGCTTTCATCTGGTTATTTACAGAATCAAATGAAAAGAGCTTCAGTGCACCAAACCACACACTCAGTGGACATGATACATTCTGAGAGGATTTAAAGTCTGATGCTAGCATATAAAACAATATATGGAACAAGCTCTCTAACTTCCAACCAAGCAGAAAGTTCCAAAACCTGTATGTCATAGTTCATCAATTCTAAGATACATTTTTTTCCACCATTTAACATCTTTGAAATAGAGATGCATCTTAAAAACCAATAGCTTGGCCGGGCACAGTGGCTCACGCCTGTAATCCTAGCACTCTGGGAGGCCGAGGTGGGCAGTTTGTTTGAGCTCAGGAGTTCGAAACCAGCCTGAGCAAGAGCGAGACTCCGTCTCTACTAAAAATAGAAAGAAATTAATCGGACA